CTATACTACCCTTAATCACACTTCTTTAACTGCACTGCTATTATTAAATAAGCAAAAACTTATTTTCTTAAATATGTAACTACTTATATTAATGACTCATAGTTATATTAGTAGTAATAATATTAAAAATTACTCTTTAATCATTAATAATACTAATTATTGTAATATTAATCTATACCATTTACTATTATAATATAAATAACTTTAATGCTAAATATAATGATTTGATTAATGAATATCCTAATCAATTCTCTAAACCTAAAAATATTTTTCAAAATACAGAATTTTGGAGACCAAATTTAAAACTGATAAAATTTAAAAATTATTTATATAATATAATATTTTATGACATTTTTGGCATCACATATGCCTATTGTTTAACTTTAATGTTTATTTTAGAGATTTCCTAGAAATTATTTAATGAAAATTTTGAACGCAAAATTTCACAAAATCATGTAAAATTACAATAATTTGTCAACCCTAACTATAATGCTAATAACAAAATTTCATTAAAATATTATTGCATATTTTTAAATTAAAGCAACATAATTACCTATCTAATTAAATTCAAAAATCATTAAATACAAATTAACTTATGTTTATACGTCTTTCATCATAACTAAACACCTTCAACAATCAAAACATAAAGTAACAACCAAAACATAAACCAAAAATAATCTAAAACATTACGCTATCCTATCCTATCCATCTGCCATAACATTTACTTAAAACTAAAATATTTTAAACAAACACTCTCGATCTATTTATCAAACTTAAACACTCTTATGTAACTTAACCCTATAAAAATTACCTTCTAAATAACATAATCTATTACACAACCCATTCCCACCAAATATCACACTAATTTGCATAATTACATTCTCTTTATCGATCTAGGTTACATCCAAATATACAAAATATACCAAATCATTCTCTGTAACTTAACTCATCTTTGATTATATATATAATTGCGATTTTTACTCTCTGCAATTAACCACAGCTCTAGTTTTATAATAAATATTAATCAAATTTGTTAAAAGGTGTTAAAGTGTGTCACATCAAAAGATAAATAAGTGTACTGTACGCATATATATCAATAAATTTGCCAAGTCCATATGTGACATACTCTTTCATCGTGTCAAAATTCATTTGCAAAACGACCAGAAAAAATCGACAATCCATTAGATGTTGCTAAAATATCCAACGAAATTAACCAATTATATTTAGAAGATAAATCACAAAATTTTCTTAATGAAATTATTAAAGAAATGTATCATCTTTATAATAAAGAATTATTGAATGGTAAAAATCATGATTCAAGACTTGACAGCTTAGAACAAATTCTAGTAAAAAAAACAAAATCCGGATAGTATTATCAAATATTGCTTAGATAATCAATGTGATCCTATGGTTCAAAACATTCTTGCTATTTGTTATAGGCATGGCAAATGGGTTGAAAAGGATGAAGATAAGGCATTCATTTATTTTCAAAAATCTGCAGAGATGGGGGATTCTAATGGAATGAATTGTGCTGGATATTGTTATAGAAATGGAATTGGAGTTGAAAAAGATGAACATAAGGCATTCATTTATTATCAAAAATCTATGGAGATGGGGAACGCTATGGGAACATTTAATTACCAAAATGGAATTGGAGTTGAAAAAGATGTAAATAAGACATTCATTTACTATCAAAAATCTGCAGAGATGGAGAATGCACTTGGAATAAACAATGCTGGATATTGTTACCAAAATGGAATTGGAGTTGAAAAAGATGAACATAAGGCATTTATTTATTATCAGAAATCTGCAGAAATGGGGAGTGCTAAAGGAGCATATAATGTTGGAAATTGTTATTTCATTGGAATTGGAGTTGAAAAGGATGAACATAAGTCATTTATTTATTATCGAAAATCTGCAGAGATGGGGGATGTTAATGCGATGAATGAGGTTGGATATTGTTATGAACATGGCATTGGAATTGAAAAGGATGAACATAAGTCATTTATTTATTATCAAAAATCTGCAGAGATGGGGGACGTTAATGGAATGAATGAGGTTGGATATTGTTATGAATATGGCATTGGAATCGAAAAGGATGAACAAAAGGCCTCTGAATATTATTTAAAAAGTGCTGAACATGGATCTTGTTGTGGTATGCATGATATTGGTTCGTGTTATCGGAAAGGAATGGGCGTAGATATAAATAGAGATTTGGCTTTTGAATGGTACTTAAAATCTGCTGTCACTCAACATAAATGTTATTATAATAACTATTTCAATTGGATAGAATATAAAAATTTTAGAAATATTGAAGTAGGTAAAGGTGGATTTTCCACAGTATATAAAACATCATATGAAACACATGAAGAAGTTGCAATCAAGATAATAAAAGATTCGCATAAAAATCAAAAACAGTTTTTAAACGAGGTATTTTGGTTTCTTTTTTTTACGCTTAAATTTATATTGTTTATAAATTAATTGTAGATGATTTTTTCTATTTTTTAGTTAAAGGCGTATCACGAATTTGGTAGATACAATGGCATATCAATGGACGATAATACCGGTGATTTTATTTTAGTGCTAAATTACGCAAAATTTGGATCATTACGTGAAAATCTTAAAGATATTTTAAAACTGGAGTGGAAAATTAAATTAAAAATATTATTCGATATCATTCAAGATTTGCTAGAAATTCATTCTAAAAATTTTATACATAGAGATTTACACTCTGGTAACATTTTGCTAAAAGAACGATATGAAGCTTATATTGATTTAGGTTCATCAATATCGGTTGATGAAAAACAGGATGGTCATATTTATGGTGTTTTGCCATATTTAGCACCTGAAATCTTGAAAGGAGAACAGTTCACTCAATCTGCTGATATTTATAGCTTTGGAATTATTATGATAGAAATATTAAATGGACAAAGACCTTTTGATGGTTACAATTTTGATGCAGAATTAGCAGCGATGATTTGTCATGGATTACGACCTGAATTTGTCATAAGGACACCAAAGTGTTATATTAAATTAGTCAAACAATGTATTAATTCAGATGTGAAAAAAAGACCTACGGCTATTGAAATTATTAATAAACTTGAAAATTGGAAAAACATTATAGTCGACAGTGATAACAATATGAAAAAAAGATTTAAGACTGTTAGGATTTTTAATAAGCTTAATGATTGGAAAAAGATTAAATTAGACAAACAATCTATTGATTCAGATGAAGAGATCAAACAGCAATTTTTAGAAGCTGATAAATCAATTAAAGAATTGCCAATTACCTCACAGTGGCATGGTAATATTATGTATATTTCTAAACTTATTGATACAAAGGAAATCGTTTCAGAATTTGAAAATTTTAGGCTTAATTGATAATATTGAACAAGATTAGGGCATGTTGTGTACAGTATTGAGAGTGTATAACTTGTATTGTTAATTTATAAAAGATGTAAAAATTTTACATTATAGTTTACAATTTAGTGTTAAGGTTGGGGTTAGGGTTTTAGGAACATGAAATATTTTACTTAAAGCTCATTGTAATTATTATTTTTTAAATGGAAATTTATAAAAAACATCAAATTTTAGATTTTTAAGATTTCTTTCTGATTAGTAATCATCTGATTATCACAATGATTTGAAAAGCACAAGCAATAAATAGGCAGTGTTCTAGTTAGATTGTTTAATTTTTTTACAATTTTTATATCATAACTTGCATGCGTTATTTTGAGTAATGGCCTGAATTTTAAGCTGGAAATCGAACGTGCACCCTGCGAGTTGTAATCAAACAAAATTGCAGCACGGTATAATATAGTAATGCACGAAAATTTGAAGAATGAGACCATACAAACTGTACACAGGACACGACCAGGCTAGGTTAAGGATGGTATAGAGATTGAGTATAGACGTAGATTTAAGGTTGGAAATGTACCAATTGCTTGTTACACGTCTTTAATGTATCTTAAAAGTATAAAAGAGCAGCCTTCTAATAAAGCTTTAGACTTCGATGTCTTTGTTGCAAAGGATATAAGAATCGATTTCTAAGTTCAAGTGTCGTATTTATTATCGTCTTGTTACTCTAACTGTTAAGATATTTAACAATTACATTACATTTTTGTTGTTACATTATTACCATTATTACCATTAGAGATGGGCATGGTGATGCACCTGGAAAATGTGTGTCAGGTTGAGTCCGGATGGTCGTCCGGATAATTAGATCGTATTATCGAACTATAACGCTAAAGAAATTACATATTCATTACCGTTAAGTTTTATATTAATTTATGCAAAAATTAAAATTGAGTAATTGTTTGCGTACATCAGTTTCGTGTAACATCACGTACATCAATTTTTCTTGTCCAATAAAATTTCAGAATTAATTGGCCATTTGAAATTCGACAATTATTTGCGTACATCAGATTGTACTATGTTACGTACATCAAATTTATCAGCCAATAAAATTGTATTATTAAAATGATATAAATTGACTAAAATTTATTAATTTAATGCACTTATACTCTTCGTTACCTATTTTTTTTTAGCTCATTTTCCATACTATTATTCATCTTTATTATTTAGTTTTGTTATTTGTTTCTATTTTCATCAACTCTAGTTTATATATATATATATATTGATTTTTATAAATTGTCTATGGATACTAATACTGATCTTATTCCTGAAAAAAGGTGTACTTTTTCTACTTTTGGTGAAGCTTGTGTTTTTATAGAAAATTATGCAGTACAAACTAATATTGTCATAATTTTGAGGAAAACAACCACAAATCCTAATGGTAATGGTTATAGACAGGCATTTTTGTTTGTAAGAAAAAAGGAAATTATAATGGAAAAAAAGAAGCATATACTACTAAGTGAACAGGATGTTCATTTGTTATTGGAATAAATTATCATAAACATATTAATGTATTTGCTATAACTAAATTATGCTTGGAGCATAATCATAATATTTATCCTAATGCTAGAAAGTTTAGTATTAATATGTGTAAACTGGATCAGAATGAACTAGGTATGGTTGAGGAGCTTCATAATAATGGGCTTCGAACAAAAGACATTTATAATGTTTTAGCATCTGTGAGCTCAAAGTATGTACATAAATATGATATTTATAATGCTGTTAGTCATCAATATCAGCAAAAATTACAAGAGTTAAATGAAATTGAGATGCTGCTCAAAACTTTACAAAATAATAAAAATATTATGACAAGTATGGCAACTAAACCTGCATATAATGATGAACATGATCAAGATGGATCATTTATCCAAGCAATTTTCTGGGCACATCAAAATGCATTTTCTGAATTTGCAATAGCAAAGAATATATTGATTATTGACATGATATATAAAACTAACAGGTTTTTTTTTTTACTTTTAAAGATGTATTTACTAATTTGAGTAGTGCTTTTTTTATTGAATGCAATCACTAACTTTCATAGTTTTAGAATGTATACTATTTAGCACTTATTGTTTAACTTTTTTTAGTAAACTATATTCGTTTTATGCATGGCATTATTATTATGATTTATTTATTTATTTATAACTAATTCATAATTAATTAATTAATTATTTTATTATTTTAATAGATTTATAATGCCATTAATTGTTATTTGTGGTGTCGACCGATTTGGATTAACGTACCCTTTAGCCTTTTCATTTGTTTATTCTGAAATGAAAGATTTTTATTGCTGGGTGCTACAACAACTATGTAATGTGCTAACTATCTTAACAGGTGATTCACATATAGCAACGATTATAACTGACCAGAAGTTGGCCCTTATAGCTGCAATATCTACAGTATTTCCTAATACAAAACACCAGCTATGTACTTGGCATATTTTTAAAAATATCAGGAACAAGCTTAAAGGCATCAATATTGACAAATTTATTCGATCTGTTCAAAAACTTGTATATGATGATCTTTCAGAAGATCAAACAGAACAAGAAATTACAGAGCAATGAGTATGATTTCCAAGTGCAAAAAAGTATATATGTGAAACCTGAATGTTGCATAGAGAAAGTTGGCTTGCAGTACACACAAAAAAAAAATATTAATCTTAACATTAAGTCAAGCCAGCATGTTGAAACTCTATATAGCCAATTAAAATGTGTTGAAAATTAGGTTACCCCAATTGATAGGTAGGGATAAAATTTGTTACATATTATAATGTCTAGATACAAGACTTAAGTTTGTTATATTTCATTAAATTTAAAACTTATAATTAGATCTGTAGGTCTAATAATTGAAAGATTTATTCTATTTTCTTAATTTTATTTTATGTCTTGGGTTTCTTATAGTAGCCAATTAATTGGATAACTGATTTTTTTAAAAAAATTATTAGCTAACTAGTTTACTAATTATACAAAAAATACTCATATTGACTAACACTTCTTTATCATATTACAGTAGTTGTTATTTAGTATTAGTTTTTTTGGTTACAGAATTTTAATCAGTTCTGATTTTTATTAATAGGTTACTTGCGACAATTCAGCAAAAACATCAAGAACACATTTATAAGATTGAATATGAAACATTTTTATATCAGAATAGGCATATACAAGATGATAAAGATATAGGTCTGGAAAAGTTACATTCAGTATGTTCACAATTTGCATTTGAAACTTATATAAAAAAACAAAGAGATCTTGTAATATCTGGAGAGTATGGTGTTCTTAAACATGATGATAATTTATATGATATAGTACAAATTGGTGATCAGGTAATGAGGACATATATAGTGCAAATTGGGACACCAAGTACTTGTACATGTTTGCATCCACAGCATACAAGAACTCTATGTCAGCATATAATTATAGTATATTTACTGTATATGCATACTTGTGTACCACAAAGTGAGGTCCATAAGTGTTGGCATGTGTAGCATATCATGGAAATTAATCATGTTCCAGATTCTGTTCCTCAACTTGCTGTACAGATTTTCAAAGAACTACTGAAGTGTTATCATAGTAATTTATTGAATCTTATACAAGATGCTTCAGAGTATATTTTGAAAAATAGAAAAATACCAAAACTTCAAAATGACATAACTATTTCATAGCAAAATATTTTTGAAATGACTATTGTTGATAGTGTGACTAATTATGAGGAAATTAAAATTCACAGTATTAAGTATAAGCATGGTTATCCATCTAATAATAGACATATCTGCAGTACTTATGAAAATATAACTAAAAAACCTAAAATTAAGAAATTGGATAATAATGTACTAATGCCATATCAGGCAAGTACAAAACTTGATTCACGTATTTCTTAAAATGCGATATTACAGATATGTATGTCTGAATTGCCTTTCTCACTAATTATTAATTAATTATTTAATATCAATTAATATATTAATGTATTAATTAGTTTACTAAAATTAGTTCTTAGTTTTTTTTTTTTTTTTATAGTTACAGCAGAAATAAGTTTTTTTCATTTGTTTTTTTTTTACTGAAATTATTCATGTAATTCAAAGCAACTAATTTAAATATATATATTCAATTACAGGTGTACAATCCACTTAGTGATGGTCATTGTGGCTTTCGATCATTAGCCATAGCTATATTTCAAGAAGAGAAAAAATGACAAGATGTTAAGGCCATTATGAAATCTCAACTGACTAAGCAGTAATCTTTTTACAACATCATACTTGGATATAACACAAGTTGACTTATAATCGTTTTATCATATATTCAACTAGAATGTTCACAAGAATACTGGTTTTATTCATCAGAATGTGTACAGCTAGTATCAGATGCATTTAATATGCCAATAACGATATTTGGTATGGATGTTATGTCAAGTCTTTTTTTTTTGCATTTTAATCAAAAGTCTGAATGTCATAAAAAACCTATTATTCTGCATTGGTACAGACATAATTATATTGTATTTGTTAAGCTCAAACCAAATAGAAATATACAAGTTCCACCTTTAAATTCTCAGTATATTTCTATTTGTCATTACTTAAGTTTTTCTGAGGATTGGTATTCTCTCTTTGTATAGATTTATACTTTGTTTTTTTGCTTTATTATTTTTTCTTTTATTATAAAATTGAATTGATATCAGCATAATAATTTAATGCTTAGTTATTGGAAAAATATATAATAATGTAATAAGCATCACAAAGAGTATTGTTTATTTTGTAAAATGAGTTAAATGCAACAAAAAATCAAATATGCATTTATAATAATGAGAATATAAAAAAAACAAAAACCTAGAATATTAAATATCGATGTTTTTTCAATAAAATCTCAAATTTTAAAGACATTATATATTAAGCAACAACTTTATTTATCTGAAGAAATTAATAACATTTAATTTGCTTAATGTTAAATTACAATATAAAATCTATCTTGTTTCGATATAATTATTGTAAATATTGTATATACAATTAATTTAATTTAAAGCTTAAAATCGAGAATGTACACGAAAAAGATGTACAGTTGAAGTTTAAGGTACTGAATTTCTTTATAACGAATATTTGAATATAGTAAAATGTTTATATGATAAATATGCATTTTTTTTTTACCCTTTCTTGAAGGGACGCCAGTTGGTGTACTTTATATAAATATGCATTTGAATATATAAATTTATCTTCTAATATCCAAAGACTTTTATATATCGAAGATATTGGATCAGTATTGGAATTAGCTTAACTGTAATACAAACGATTATCAAGTTTCAAATTGCTGAAAAAAAATGATGTACACGAAACTGATGTACGCAAATAACTATCGAATTTCAAATGACCAATTAATGCTGAAATTTTATTGGACAAGAAAAATTGATGTACGTGATGTTACACGAAACTGATGTACGCAAACAATTACTCAAATTAAAATTTTACGTAATAAATATTTCTAAGCTTTTTCTTTTGCGAAAAAGATTTGAAGTTTATTACAGACTCGTATTTTAATATTATAAATCGTTGCTTCGCTATTTTGCAAGCTAAAGCTACAATATAAATTAGACCTAACAAACTATTGAATATATTGAATCTACTTACCCCACTTCAATGAATACTTATGCCAGCTTACAAGTATTGAGAGTTACGATGAATTAGAACCTGAAATCACTTTTAAAAACGCCATAATTGAGAATATTAATATTAAAGAAAGTTGATACTTGAAGTGAGTTCATGGGTTTCAAGAAAAATCAACAACGCGATACACTTGATCAGAACTTATCTAGTTAAAGGAATCAAAGTCATTTTTTAAAGGGATGAGATAGTAATTTTAGTAAAGCCAAAAATTAGCAAATATGAATAAAAACCCACATAATTTAAAAAACAGGAACACGAATTGTTTTACGGCATTGAAGTTAAAAACTTGTATAAATTGTCAAAAAAACCATCCAAATTAGCAATTAAAAGCGAAAGTCTGTAACATTGTATAACGTTATAAAGCATATGAAATATTGTTTATTTAATTGAAAAAAAAGCTTTGTATCAATAAGAAAACTTTATACAGTCTTAACTCTTTCTATAGTGAATTGACGGTGAAAAAAAAGGTTGTTATAAAAAATTGCTATGTTTTATCAAGAACAAATGACCGAACTATTGTGAAATTTAAATATTTAAATTCATTGCATCCAGAGTCGACTGGATATATAAAATATATATATCTGTTTTTTTTTTGTTTTTTTTTAATCGACAAAAATCATTGCGTTACAGCTGTTCTCATAAATTTTGAAAAATGATTATTTGGCGATTCGATAAGTTCATGATTTCGGTAATGAGTGATTATATAATAATGTGTGTGTTGCGTGTCAAAATAAAGTTTGCGTCAGGTTAAAATTTAAATACAGGATTTCATTAAAAACTTACATTAAGATGAGGGTAGATATTAGCGGGGTAATATAGTTATTTTAATTTGACGTAGATATTAGTTTGATACACAAAATATATAATAAAATAATATAATATATATATTTTTACTTTTATTTAGCTAACATAGCTTTGACAAATGTTAATAAATCATCTTTAATCCAGTCAATAAATACTTGATCGTATCGAACTTTTTTTTTTTATTAGCGCCTACTTGTGTGATATATTTACTATGAAAGATAATCTTATATTCAATTCCTTTTATATGTTTTAAAGAACAATCTTCACCATAAATTCTTGTACAGATTAAACTTACCAAACGTACTGGACATATATTTAAACGAAAACCTAATTTAAATGTGTTGACATTGTCGTATCGTTCTGATATATTATCGCTATGAATTAAAACTATATATCACAAACTAATTACTCAAGTTAAAAGTTTATCACTGCTGTATCAAAAGCTTATCAAATCGGCCAAACAATAATTCGGTCAATTTTTCACCTGATGATCCAAAATTTATGAGAACAGTTGTAATCGAAATTGCTTAATTTTTAAAGTGATCATCCGGGCGATTATCCGAACCCAACCTGGTACACATTTTACTTATTACGTAAAAAATCAAAATCAAATCACATCGGGCGACAATTCACTAATAATATATGCTGTGTGCTGTTACAGAGTGTCACATCGAAGGACGAATAAGCGTTAATGCAATGAAATGCATATATACAGTATCAATAAATTTGCTAACTCTATATGTAGCATACTCTTTCATAGCGTCAAAATGTCAATTGCAAAACGACCAGAAAAAATAGACGATCCATTAGATGTTGCTAAAATATCTAATGAAATTAACCAATTATATTTAGAAGATAAATCACAGGATTTTTTTAATGAAATTATTAAAGAAATGTATCATCTCTATAATAACGAAATATTAAATGGCAAAGATTATGATTCAGCTCTTAACGTCTTAGAACAAATTCTAGTAAAAACAAAGCAAAATCCGAATAATATTATCAGATATTGCTTAGATCATCAATTCGATCCTATGGTTCAAATCATTCTTGCTATTTGCTATAGGCATTGCAAATGGGTTGAAGAGGATGAAGATAAGGCATTCATTTATTTTCAAAAATCTGCAGAGATGGGGGATTCTAATGGAATGAATGCTGTTGGATATTGTTATCTTAATGGAATTGGAGTTGAAAAAAATAAACATAAGGCATTCATTTATTATCAAAAATCTGCACAGATGGAGAATGCACTTGGAATAAAAAAGGTTGAATATTGTTATCAAAATGGAATTGGAGTTGAAAAAGATGAACATAAGGCATTTACTTATTATCAAAAATCTGCAAAGATGGAGGATTCTGATGGAATGAATGATGTTGGATATATTGTTATGAACGTGGAATTGGAGTTGAAAATGATGAACATAAGGCATTCATTTATTATCAAAAATCTGCAGAGATGGGAGATATTAATGGAATGTATAATGTTGGATATCGTTACCAAAATGGAATAGGAGCTGAAAAAAATGAATATAAGGCATTCATTTATTATCAAAAATCTGCAGAGATAGGAGATGCTAGTGGAACATTTGCACTTGGTAACTGTTATAAAGATGGAATTGGAGTTGCAAAGGATGAACATAAGGCATTCATTTATTATAAAAAATCTGCAAAGATAGAAAATGCACTTCGAATAAACAATGTTGGATATTGTTACCAAAATGGAATTGGAGTTGAAAAAGATGAACATAAGTCATTCATTTATTATCAAAAATCTGCAGAGATGGGGAATATTAATGGAATGCATAACCTTGGATATTGTTACCAAAATGGAATTGGAGTTGAAAAAGATGAACATAAGGCATTCATTTATTATCAAAAATCTGCAGAGATGGGGAATGTTAAAGGAATGAATGATGTTGGATATTGTTACCAAAATGGAATTGGAGTTGAAAAAGATGAACATAAGTCATTTATTTATTATCAAAAATCTGCAGAGATGGGGAATATTAATGGAATGCATAATCTTGGATATTGTTACCAAAATGGAATTGGAGTTGAAAAAGATGAACATAAGGCATTCATTTATTATCAAAAATCTGCAGAGATTGGGAATGTTAAAGGAATGAATGATGTTGGATATTGTTATCTTAATGGAATTGGAGTTGAAAAGGATGAACAAAAGGCCTTCGAATATTATTTAAAAAGTGCCGCACATGGATCATGTTGTGGAATGCATGGTGTTGGTTCGTGTTATCAGAAAGGAATGGGTGTGGATACAAATAAAGATTTGGCTTTTGAATGGTACTTAAAATCTGTTGTCACTCAACATAAATGTAATTTTAATAACTATTTCAGTTGGTTAGAATATAACAATTTTAGAAATATTGAAGAAGTAGGTAAAGGTGGATTTCCACAGTATATAAAACATCATATGAAACACATGAAGAAGTTGCAATCAAGATAATAAAAGATTCGCATAAAAATCAAAAACAGTTTATAAACGAGGTATTTTGTATTCTTTTTTTTACGCTTAAATTTATATTGTTTATAAATTAATTATATATGATTTTTCTATTTCTTAGTTAAAGGCGTATCACGAATTTGGATCATTACGTGAAAATCCTAAAGATATATTAAAATTGGAGTGGAAAATTAAATTAAAAATATTATGCGATATCATTCAATATTTACTAGATATTCATTCTAAAAATTTTATACATAGAGATTTACACTCCAGTAA